ACACACACACACACACACACACACACACACACACACACACACAGACAGAAGGTGAAGGAAGCCATGAGAAATGTTACCTTTCGAGGCATGATTGGGATGGCCAAGTCGTTGCCCTTGACCACGGTTATTGGGATGGCCAAATCGTTGTGTTCCGTTGACGCTCTGGCTGTGACGAGTACCTACCAGTGACCAATGGCAACTACGTGATCAAACACCTGCATAGCACCCTAAAGAGTCTACGACTCTACTCTGAATAAGCCTGCCACTTCCTTCCACTCTAAAACTTGGGGGGCGGGACAACCCACAGATCAAAACTTCAGACGACGGTCTACTGAGAGAACCAGTGTCATAAATTACAGAGTCTCAACTATAAAATACCTCGCAAGGAAACCCAGCCTGTCATCTCTCAATACAACAATGAGAATAATTGACATGTCTGGCTTCCCAGCGGTTCACATCTTGGGACAGCTACAAGAAGGACAAGAAGGACAAGAAGGTTGCGCTGCATCTATTCGTACTAATGCCAATCGACTTCTCCTTCACATTTTGCCCTGAACAATGGGTTTATGCCCCCAACCAGCGTGTCACAGAACGGCGCTGTCCATCTTCTGCCCATTGACAAGCCACCCCACCTCGTCCCATAGGCGTCTCCACCCCGGGTCAGGCTGTGACGAGTTCCTAATCGCGCCTCCGCTTCGGCTGCTGCTGCAGCACAGCTATTGTTCTTCCACCAAGTCATGTGCTGATCCTTCCTCTGCCGTCCGGCAACACGCACAGGTGACTCCCCTCCAGCACAAGGGATGCAACTCTCAACATAAGTCTGTGGGACCTCGCTGCTCCTGGATCCAGCATCCATATCGGCTTCATCAGCTTCGTCCTCCCAGAGGCTTCCCTCACCCATCTCCACAACATCGTCATCGGCACAATGATCCTCTGCCGACGTCAACGTAAAACGCTGCTGGTGCTGCTGCTGCTGCTGCTTCCAAGGATCGTCATACAACCATGCTCCCCTTGCTTCTCGAGCTGAGGGTTTGGCATCCACAGCATCGGCAACGAGCTTACGGTTTTCAGCATACGGCGCACTTGCATGGACCCCACCTTCGACTGAGTTCGAAGCCTCCAAATCATTCCACTGCATCAGTCTCCAGCAGTCCAGTTCATCTTCTTCACCCGTCGGGAGGTCCTCCACTCTTTCCCACCTCCCATTCAAGCCCAGCCTGAGCGCCCCGGCTCCACAGGGGGGTCGCCTTTGTCGATTGTCATGACCACCTGCAGATCTCTGCTCGGCCTCGTCTGCGGCTCTTTCAACCTCGCAATTGGCACCGGATGTTCCACCAGAACCCCCGCTGTCACCCATATCCTCCCGTTTCGCAAGGAACAGGCCATTGTCGTATGCAACCCACTTCGCATCCGCGGATTCCGTTCCCTCTTCCGAGTTGCGCAATCCACCCAAGTTGCCATTCTCAACAACAGCATTACCAAAATCGGAAGAGTGAGCCGAGTCCACGCTCTCAGCAGGACTTCGGACACTGACATGGAAGCTGAAGCTGGTGGAGGAGGCTGTCGAAGACACCTCGGCGCTGCAAGATGGTGACGCAACAGACTGCTTGTCGGCAGTGAAGGTGGTCACACCAAGCGAGAGAACACTCTCCTCTTCCTTCTCTCCTTCCCAACTTCTGTCTCCTCTTTCCTCCAACTCCGACTCGTCCAAACCCTGCTTGTCATTGCCGCCCCCATTTCCTTTCCCATCTGTTTGCGTGCCCCAGTTGTCCGCCGCACCTCCCACGCCCTCTCCCAGATGGCAGGTTGTTAAAGAGCTTACGAATGCCATGCGCGCTGTCTCGCCGTCCGTGATCGGCCCCTCGATGCTACCGGCCACTTCTTCACGGGCATCCATCACTTCAACTCTGCTCCTGGCAACGCTGCAAGTCGAGTCCATGCTGCAAGAAAGACATGCACTGCCATCCCTGTCATCTTCGTCGAGCTCCCCAATGACTTGATCTTCAATCACATAAACTGGGTTGGAAAAGAAAATGAACTCCCGGCTGTACCGACTCACACCACAGTGTTCCCCCTTGTCTACGCGCTTGTTGGGTTTGGTATCGAAACCTCCTGATAATCTGCTTAACGCTCTGACTTCACCCTCGTCGCACCCTCCATCCCCCTCTCTCGCTTCCTCGACATCAACTTCCTCCTCATCTGAGACAGACTCCAAATCCCATGAACTGCTTACATATCTCTGGTTCTCCTTCATACGCCATACCGGGCGAACGGCCCCCCAAGATCCCCCCTCCATCTCACAGCTGCTCGCCGTTTCATCACCTTCCACATGCAGTGAGCCATCCCCTGCTACACTCGGGATGCACAGGCCAGACTTGGGGAGACATACCCCCTTTCCCAAAACCATATCCCCGATCCCATTGGAGGAATACATGCTATGGTGATGTACACGGCCACCGGATTTCTTACCGTTGCTGCAGGCTCCGTCAATCAAGCAAGCTGCCGCGTCCAAACAACTGGCTGCTGAAGGTGATAAGACCCTGAATAGCATGCTGTTCTCTGTCTTCTCTTTACATTTTGCGTCATCCTTTTCAAGGACTGTGTTTCCCACATGTTCATCCTCCCCTCCTCCTGTGGGAGGAGGCTCCTCGGAGACAGCACCTTCAAGACCATGCCCTTCAGCAGGCTGTTTCGCACTGTCCTCTGAAGTCCCCTTGAGGCTATATCCGAGATCCTCACACGATGCCTCGTCATCTCCATCCCAGGAAGCACAAGTACTTCTATCTCCTTCTCTCGTCTGACCTTTAACCTGATAAACAACCATCTGATTAGACAAGGATGTAAAACAGGACAGGGAGCAGTAACCAGATGACGACGAGGACCTCGATCTCTTCTCTCTCCTGACTTCCGGACTGTGTGTGACTTCCTGAGGTTCATGTTTCCACACAAGAGCATTTTCGCCTGCACGTTTTGTCTCGGTATTCTTAACGGTTTCTCCATAGCGATAGGCACAGCTACAGGCCTGATCGACAACCTCTCCTCTCTCCACGAGTCCAATCTCAAACATGTCCTCGCTGTCATACGGCTTCTCCATGCTTGAAACTTCTTCTTCTTCCATCCCTTTGCCAGATTTCTGGATCGTCTCTGCCAAAGACACGAATCCAAATCGGCCAAAAGGACCGGCTCTACAAGTCTCCCCCTGTCCTTCGGGGCAGTCCCTCTTCTTTCCCGTATCAACCACGGCTCTGGCTATAGAACAGGCCGCTTGTCTGTGTGCCCCACACTTAAAGCCAGGCGTCGACTTCTCTGACTCCAATTCGCTAGAACACCTCAAAGGGCTTAAGACAATGGAGGAGCAAATCCAGTCACCGTTGGGTAGGCTTCCCGCACCATGGCCGGCGGCATCTGGCAACCTTGTGGGGGTACCCAGCCTCCTACACGCTGGGTAGATCCTCCTCCGACAATCCAAGGCCGGGGAACGTACTCCGGCGTCAGGACTCAGCGACAGAGTGTACCATTCATCGAGCTCCATACACTGCGCCGCACGCAAACTTCCCGCTGGACTGCAATCGTTGTTGTCGGCAACCTCTTCTTCTGCACCATCCCGAGTGCTGCGGTTTGCCCACCCAGTGAAAGACGCCTCAGAATGTGCATCGCTGTCGCTGCTCACCTCGGCATCCGATGCGTGTCCCTCTCTTCCATCAGAGGTCGACCCTCCTGCGCTCCGATGATCATCATCCTGAAAAGGTTCAGATGCTGCTTGTTCCTGCTCCTCCCCAAAATCGGCAACGCCGCTGATGTCCCAACTCCCAAACCCATTGGATAACCTGTCCTCCACCCCTCTATGAGCCGATGCCGGTGCCCTGTCGTCTTTGGGCATACTCCTGGGCGATGCACAGTCGTCGCCTTGTGGCATGAAGTCAAATGCAAAAGAAAGGGGAGACACCGGGGACTGAGGCACGGACACCGAAGACGAGGAGGATGAGGTTGATGTGTGCAGATCGGACGAGGAGAAACTCACTCTGGACTGCAATATCATGTTTCCCCCAGCTTCAAGCTGCCGCCGGAGACGGGCTCCGCATGATGGAGGCGAAAGAGAGAGCTCCTTGAGCGAAACCAAGACAGGAGGTTTCCGATTCAACAACCCCGGGAGTCGGGAGTTTGAAAGGGACCATGTCTGTGACTCCCAAAAAGACGATGATGACGATGACGATGACGACACGGATGATGACATTGACGACGACGGTGACCGAGATCCAGGCCTGGGCACGATGCCACCAGATGAGATTGAACTCGACACCAGAGGCGCAGGCGGAGAGAACGCGAGCAGGTGAGACACTAAGGGAAAGACAACGCAAGATGATGATGCGGGCTGGTTCATACGGGGCACAGATGATGCCTCAAGAGAATCACATACTTCTGCTTCTGTGAACGCATGGACATCTGCAGAGTCCATTGTCTCCACCAGGGGAGTCTGCGAGGAGGCGGAGTCATCGCACATCCCTGAGACCTCACGCTGCGGCAGGAATATGGACGCGGTCGACCTCAGGTGAGGACAGGATACCAGCCCTTTGGTTGGGGAAGACAATGCCTCCAGGGAATCGCACACACACACCTTCGACAGCTCGCAGATTTCCGTCTGGTGGGTGAGCACCTCTGCCAGAGGCTTGGAAGTCACATCTTTGCTGCACTCATCCGTGTCGTGGCAGACATACCTCACCTCGGACATCGGCAGAGAGGATGCAATGTACGACGATGAAGACGTCGACTTTGTTAGCGAAATGGAGGACCATTGTGCATCCTCTCCCGAGGTCTGTTCGTCAACATCTGCCCTGTCGCCAACAATACAGATTCGCCCTTCGTTCCTCGAATCACTGAAGTCGTCATCCCCACCACCACCGATCATGACCAACTGTCTACCGGTGCTTGTCACCGGCAGATTCACCACTCTCACCACTGACGCCAAGGACTCGGGAATGTCTCCGCGGTTATCCGTTCGCTTATTGTCTACGTTCGCTTCTGAGTCCGCCGCCTCCGTCCTTGTGCTTCTAGAGGAAGCGCCCACCGATGCAGAAGCAGCGCTATGGTAATCATCAGACGAATCACCGAGATCTCCCACAGCAGCAGCATTCATCTTCCCTGAGCCTGCAACAACCCGCCGCCCAGGATAAGCAAACACTCGATATCAACCGCACGGAACCACGCATTGCATCTGTCATCAGTCTCTGATGAACATCACCATGCGAACACTAGTTTTTCTCATTCGTGAAAAGCCCAACGAAAAGAGTTTCAATCGTCTCCCCGTTATCTGCCATTAACCAGGGCACATTTCCCCGTTATCAGCCATTAACTAGGGCATCACACTTTCTCTTTCTTTGAAGTCAGTCGCACAGGTACACAAAGCGAAGTTCACACCAAAGGCTTTTGCTTTATCTTTTCCCTCAAGGGAAACAGGTTCAAACAACCTTAGGAAACCGCCGTCAAACTGATCACCCATCTCAGTAAATCGTTACCGCTTGAAGGTTTGTCATTTACATATGGTGAATTAGAATGAGCCTCTCCGAAACGTCAAGGGGCTCGGGACAGGGCCCGTCTGGGGGCGGGTGGGCGGGCGGGCGGGCGGAACTTTTCTTTTTGTTCAGGGCTGGGCCTAGTGCCACCCCACGGCATGGGACAATTTGTTGTCTTTTGACTGGCCCTTGGGATGCTGCCCTGTCCTGAGCCTCCAAAGTTTTAGGAGAGGCTCGATAGGATTCTCAACGTGGCAGGGGCCACGTACAGGGGGGTTGAAGGTTTGTCCTTCATTCAAACACTAATATCAGTTCGGGTGGGTATGGAGGTGTATATCATGGGTCCCATTTCAGAACCCACGAGAAAACTGCTTGTGATATCCAAAAGGAGAGATTGGATATCCCAATGCATGTGGCTTTGCAATTAGGCATCCATAAACAGCCGTGCCTTCACCGATATCAAGTTCATCAACCCGGTGGATTCATCATGGTAGACCGATGAACTTGCAAGAGACAGACCTCAGTTCGAATCCAGATGAGTCGACGTAACTAGGGTCGGTCACAGTAAATATCCTATCTCAAGATTATCAAGGCCATTGCCCTTTAACCACTAGACCTTTGCCGTGTGGGAAAATAGTGGGCCTCGGGTGCGCCTCCAACCTTTTCGGAGGCCGAAACAAAATGACGGCCGCCGAGCAGATTTATCAATGGCAGTCGTCATCGTCGGGCCCGGCCTCCGAAATTTTAGGAATTTGGGAAAACGGCCACTTTTTGCATTTTACCAACACCCGTGGAGGTACTAGTGGTTTGAAAAAAAAAAAAAAAAAAAGATTCATGATTCATCATGGTTTTTTTTTTTGGAAGAAAGTCAGCGGGGGCCCGTGCTAGGGGGAGTGGTACGAGCACGCCCCCCTAGCAGAGCCCCGTCAGCCGGGGGCCGTGCTAGGGGGAGTGGTACGAGCACGCCCCCCTAGCAGAGCCCCGTCTGACTGCTCCAGTCGTTTAAAAAAAAAAAAAAAAAAAAAAAAAAAAAAAAAAAA